CAGGATCGCAGCCCTTTGATCCTGCAGCAATTTCATTCCTGCTTTCCCCCTCCGCTTCCTAAGCTCCACAGGACTTAGGAAGTGGAGGGGAAAAGCAGCGATAGATTTTTCTAATTTGGGGTTAGAAAAGTGGGGGTCGTCTTATACACAGAAACATATGGTACGTCTGGCAACTACTGTATTTTTCTGTGTATAAGACTACAGCAAGCAGAGGGGAAAGCAGAGATCAAAGCGATCCTGCAGCACTTTGATCCCTGCTTTCCTTTTGCTAAGGATTAGCAAGTGGAGGGGAAAGCAGGGATCAAAGTGATCCTGCAGGGCTTTGATCCCTGCTTTCCCCTCCACTTGCTAATCCTTAGCAAAAGGAAAGCAGGGATCAAAGTGCTGCAGGATCGCTTTGATCTCTGCTTTCCCCTCTGCTTGCTAAGTTCCATGGGGCTTAGCAAAAGGAGGGGGAAAGGCTCAAAGCAATCCCGTGGCAGCATAAAGGGGAAAGGGATCAAAATGATTGTGCAGTTGTGAAATTGCTTTGATCCCTTTCCCCCCTCCTTTTCCTAAGCCCTGTGGGGCTTAGCATGAAGGGAGAAAGCAGGGATCAAAGTATCCTGCAGTACTTTGATCTCTTTACCCCTACATTTGCTAAGCCTCACTTAGATTTCTTAATTTTGGCTTAGAAAAGTGGGGAGCATCTTATATATGGGGGTGTCTTATAAACGGAAAAACACGATACTGCTACCTAAGGGATGTGCTTACTTGACATGGCCCACTGTGGGTCTCTGGAGCAGTATATAGTGGCGGGGAATTCTGATGCCTCGTACAGATGTTTTGGATAACAACTCCCATAAGCTCTGGCAAGGGTGGCCAGGGCCTATGGAGAAAAGTGGGGGTTGTGGTCAAAACCTCTGGAAACCACTGGGTGCTCCGTGGATGATCAAACCAGGGGAAGCCTGCTCAGGTCGCCATGGCCAGCTCGGCCATGTGCCGTAAGGACAGCAGAAAGCCACCGCAGGGTTTCAGCTCATCCAGACAAGGCTGTGCTCCTTCCTGGCTGCTAACATGGGCCAGGGATCTGCCTTGCCTTCTAAATATCATTCCTATTGTTCTCTCGTAGCATGACCTCCCAGGGGAAATATACTTTGGCAGCAACCTGCTGTTCTTCCTGGCATCAGAATGACTGCTTTCCTTTTTGGGCCCGGCATGTCGTTTTATTTCTTCTTTTCAAGAATCTGTTTGGTTCTCAAATCACTTTCCCCTCCCCTCCACTTTTTGCGGTTTTACTGTCAATTTACAACTTTTTTAAAAAAAAACATTACACAGGGGATGCTTGGGCACCCCTTAGACGGTGGTCCTGTTTTCTCTCGATTGCCTCCAGGGCTGGCACCGTTACCTCCTCCCGAGGTCATTCTTTCCACCGTCATACTTTTCTAACAGTTAAGAAGTTTTCCCCCCATTATATTCAGCTGAAATCTGGCTTCCTGGACCTTGAGCCCATGATTATGTCTCCTGCACTCTGGGATGATGGAGAACAGATCCTGCCCCTCCTGTGTAGGATTAGCTTAAAAGTCTTTGAAAATTGTTCCTTCCCTGAAATCGCCACCAAACAAGGAAACGATTTGCTGTGTCCATAAATATAATTCTCCTGTGGTTGTTTCCTCTGTGTGCTTCTTTTTCCATCCGGAATCGATCCCATAAGTCGAGAGGTTTCCAAATTTGGGTCCCCCCCCCACTTCAATTCTCAGAAGCTCCTGGCCAGCACAGCTAGTGGTAAAGGCTTCTGGGAGTTTTAGTCTTAAGAGGGTCTGGAGACCCAGGGTTGGGAACCACTGACATAGGTGATCTTACCCCAGAGAAGATCAGTTTAGGGATCCTGATGGTGCCATGATCCAGCACCTGATGTGACATCACAGGATGTCAAGTAAGTGATAAAACTACCGTATTTTTCCGTGTATAAGACGCCCCCATGTATAAGACGCCTCCCCCCATTTTTCTAACCCAAAAGTAAGAAAGTGGGACTTAGCAAGTGTAGGGGGAAAGGGATCAAAGCCCTGCAGGATCACTTCTTTCCCCTCCATTTGTTTATGTTCTCTTCTCAGCTTACTTCCGTGTATAAGACGACCCTCAATTTTTATTCTAAAGATTTTAGACAAAAGTATAGTCTTATACACGGAAAAATACAGTATGTATTTCAGTGCCATCGGTCAGATGGATGCAGGATCGTGTCATTAATTCAGACGGTAGGCATTGTAAAAATGGTGGCTAAGTGGATGTTTTTCCAAGGCATCTTGAACATTTCTCGAAACGCGAAAATGGTTTTTATGGGTGCTGTAAATATTTACAGCAATAACAAAAAAGCCTGTGGGGCTTGCTCGGTCCTCCATTAACCATTGTATTTACATTTCCCCTTTCCTCTGTAGTGTGAGCTCAGGTTCGCATACACCCGTCTCTTTGTTTACGCTTCCTGGGAGTTAAGGTAGCCTGTACGAAAAGGGAGTCTCCAGCCCAAGGTCACCCAGTATGTTTCGTAGCTCAGTGGATAACAAAAACAGGATCTTCCAATTCTGGTACGGGGATTCCCTCTTCTCATTTCTGCTCCGTCCTATTGTTGTTAATGTGCTGTCAAGTCACCTCTGACTTAGGAACGAGCAATCTCCACCTTAGGCTGGCCTCAGCTGCCCGGTTCGGCTCTTGTAAACTCAAAGCTTGTGGCTTCCTTTAGGGATTCAATCCATCTCATCTTGGGTCTCCCTCTTTCCCTGCTCCCTTACGCTGTTCCCAGCATTGTTGTTGTTGTTTTCCCAAGAGAACCCTTTGCCTTCTCATGTTGTGCCCAAAGTAAGACAGCTTCATTTTTTAAAAAAATTTTTTGCCTCCAGAGAGAGTATTCTGGCTTGGTTTGGTCTAGGACCCACTTGTTTGTTTTTCTGACAGTCCTGGAAATCTGCAAAGATCCAGCACTCTGCTGGCTCTCCGTGTAGTGCTGAGATGATGCAACGGATTCTGGGCTGCCTGTGGAAGAAAGATTTGAAGTGATCCTGAACTTTTAAGACTTCTAGTTGCAAGCAGATGAGCGTCTTCACAGCTAGATGCGTTGGACCAGATGCCACCCACAGCTCGCAGGGGAAAAAATTGAGTTTTAGAATATTCTTTACTCTATGAGAAGACGGTGGTCCTGTTTTCTCTCGATTGCCTCCAGGGCTGGCACCGTTACCTCCTCCCGAGGTCATTCTTTCCACCGTCATACTTTTCTAACAGTTAAGAAGTTTTCCCCCCATTATATTCAGCTGAAATCTGGCTTCCTGGACCTTGAGCCCATGATTATGTCTCCTGCACTCTGGGATGATGGAGAACAGATCCTGCCCCTCCTGTGTAGGATTAGCTTAAAAGTCTTTGAAAATTGTTCCTTCCCCGAAATCGCCACCAAACAAGGAAACGATTTGCTGTGTCCATAAATATAATTCTCCTGTGGTTGTTTCCTCTGTGTGCTTCTTTTTCCATCCGGAATCGATCCCATAAGTCGAGAGGTTTCCAAATTTGGGTCTCCCCCCCCCCCACTTCAATTCTCAGAAGCTCCTGGCCAGCACAGCTAGTGGTAAAGGCTTCTGGGAGTTTTAGTCTTAAGAGGGTCTGGAGACCCAGGGATGGGAACCACTGACATAGTTTAGGGATCCCGATGGTACCATGATCCAGCACCTGATGTGACATCACAGGATTTCAGGTAAGTGATAAAACTACTGTATTTTTCCGTGTATAAGACGCCCCCATTTTTCTAACCCAAAAGTAAGAAATCTAAGTGGGACTTACAAGTGTAGGGGGAAAGGGATCAAAGCCATGCAGGATCCCTTCTTTCCTCTCCATTTGTTTATGTTCTCTTCTCAGCTTGCTTCCGTGTATAAGATGACCCTCAATTTTTATTCTAAAAATTTTAGACAAAAGTGTAGTGTTATACACGGAAAAATACAGTATGTATTTCAGTGCCATCGGTCAGATGGATGCAGGATCGTGTCATTAATTCAGACGGTAGGCATTGTAAAAATGGTGGCTAAGTGGATGTTTTTCCAAGGCATCTTGAACATTTCTCGAAACGCGAAAATGGTTTTTATGGGTGCTGTAAATATTTACAGCAATAACAAAAAAGCCTGTGGGGCTTGCTCGGTCCTCCATTAACCATTGTATTTACATTTCCCCTTTCCTCTGTAGTGTGAGCTCAGGTTCGCATACACCCGTCTCTTTGTTTACGCTTCCTCCTCAAAATGACCTTGGGAGTTAAGGTAGGCTGTACGAAAAGGGAGTCTCCAGCCCAAGGTCACCCAGTGTGTTTCGTAGCTCAGTGGATAACAAAAACAGGATCTTCCAATTCTGGTATGGGGATTCTCTCCTCTCATTTCTGCTCCGTTCTATTGTTGTTAATGTGCTGTCAGGTCACCTCTGACTTAGGAACGAGCAATCTCCACCATATGCTGGCCTCAGCTGCCCAGCTTGGCTCTTGTAAACTCAAAGCAGTGGCTTCCTTTAAGGAATCAGTCCATCTCGCCTTGGGTCTCCCTCTTTCCCTGCTGCCTTGCACTATTCCCAGCATTGTTGTTGTTGTTTTCCCGAGAGAACCCTTTGCATTCTCACGTTGTGTCCAAATTAAGACAGCTTCATTTTCAACACTTTTTTTGCCTCCAGAGAGAGTATTCTGGCTTGGTTTGGTCTAGGACCCACTTGTTTGTTTTTCTGGCAGTCCTGGAAATCTGCAAAGATCCAGCACTCTACTGCCTCTCCGTGTAGTGCTGAGACAATGCAACGGATTCTGGGCTGCCCGTGGAAGAAAGATTTGAAGTGATCCTGAACTTTTAGGACTTCTAGTTGCAAGCAGATGAGCGTCTTCACAGCTAGATGCGTTGGACCAGATGCCACCCACAGCTCGCAGGGGAAAAAATTGAGTTTTAGAATATTCTTTACTCTATGAGAAGAGGAAAGGACACTTTCTCATTACGTCTTTGTCTGCTCTTTTCCAGAAAGACTTGGCCTACCTACAGCAGTGGCTGGAAGCGTTTGTCGCAAATTTCGAGAAGATCATTGCGGTGCATTCACTGGAACCGAGAAGGTAAGTATTTCTCCTGCACGGCTGGACCGGGTGGGAAGTGTTGCGGCCTTTTGTGCCACCTGTGAGCGAGGGGATAGGAGAGCGCTTTTCAAATATCTGAAAGGCTGTCCTCCAGAGGAGGTGCAGGATCTGTTCTCAGTCATCCCAGAATGCAGGACGTGCAACCATGGGCTCAAGCTACAGGTAGCCAGATTTCAGTTGACTCTCAGGAAAAACTTCTTAACTGTTAGAGCAGTACCACAGTGGGACCAGTGACCTCAGGGGGAGGTGGTGAGTGTTCCAACATTGGAGGCATTCAAGAGAAATTGAGACAACCATTTATCGGATATCCTTGATTTGTATTCCTGCCTTGAGCAGGGGGTTGGACTTGATGGCCTTATAGGCCCCTTCCAACTTGACTTTTCTGTGATTTTGTGAGAGGGGGTGTTTTGGCATGGAGGGGTTGCCACTTCATGTCACCCGGCATGGAACAGTAAAGCTTGGGCACCATCCTCTGTTCCAGGTGGCCCCAACCAGCAAACTAAAACACACAACTTGGAAATAATGTGGTGTTATCAATATTACCTGTTGCACCTGTAACAATAGAAATCCTGTTCTCGTGTGCATAAAATTTACATAACTTGCCAGGGCTAATTGATGAGGGCTTGCAGTTGAATGCATGACCGGGGCCATGACAGAGAAGCATCCCAGTGACTCATCAATTAGCTGCAATTAGCCACAGCAAGTGATGCAACCTTTATGTGAGCACCACTACGATACTGACCATTGCAGTAGGACCCCCCCCCATCCATGGGATCAGTATCCGCTGATTCACCTGCCCACTGTCTGAAATGACTAAGTAAAAAAACCCCAGAAATGTGTATTCATATGCATTTCCAAGGGCGTATTTACCAGAACTCATAAATAAAAATAACAAGTGGCACCTTAAAGGCTCAGACGTGTGGGAGTTTGGGCACATAAATGTTGCCGGACCGTAGCATGCATCTTCGGATGCAGAGCTGGGCTGCAGTCCGCAAACTCTGAATCAGAAAAGAGAGTGTGCGAGTCTTTAAAGCTTGACAAGGTTCCTTATTGATTTCACTGCAGCCAACTTAACATGGCTGCCTCCCTGGGAATATCATTCAGCATTTCTCTCGTTCTCTTCCCCCTGCCACCTCCCACAAGCTCAAAAACAAATGGCCTCCTTTTTTATTTCCATCTGCTGTCTTTGCCTCTCCTTCCCAACATCACCGCTTGAGGTCCGACCAGCCCGAAGGAGAAAATTAGACCCTCCACCTCCCTCTGGGGCGCTTTCCCTGCATTAATTCTCCATACAGGAGATCTTTTGGAATCTGACCGTCAGCCATTCTCACGACGTGCCCAAGCCAATGTAGACATCGCTGTTTCAGTAATGTATACATGCTGAAAATTCCAGCTTGTTCTAGGACTACTCTGTTTGGAACTTTCTCCTGCCAGGTGATACCAAAATCCGTCGGAGGCGACGCATATGGAAGGTGTTCATCTTCCTCTCCTGCCATGCACAAAGGGTCCAGGACTCACTGCAGGACAGGAGTGTGCTCAGGATACAGGCTTTATAGACATGGATCTTGGTATATGCCGTCAGCTTCTTATTAAGCCATGCTCTCTTTGTGAGTCTATAGAACATGGCGGCTGCTTTCCCGATGCATTTGTCCAGCTCGACATCTAGGGAGAGGGTGTCAGAAATCGTTGAGCCAAGGTACACAAAGTCATGAAGAACCTCCAATTCTTGCGTGGAGATGGTAATAGAGGGAGTCGAGTCCACGCCCTCCGTTTCTGTATGATGAGAAAAGCTTGAAGGAATATGTAGCTGGGAGACTATCGGAGAACCATTTGGAGAAATCATTAGCCTCCAGGCTTCCGCCTGACCCATCTCCTCTGCTTCCTCCACCCTCTCTGGGCTAGCGATGAGCAAACAGAGAGCGGTTTCCACATTGCGGTGTTTCTACACTCACGCCTGATGCAATAACTGCTCAAGATGACCTACGTGTGCACCGTGTTCTGCCTGATCCCTTCCCACTCCTCTCTCTCTCTCTGTGTGTAAAAGACTGAATGTGTAAACACACACCATTATTCTTTGACCCCCATCTTGCACCACCTCACCATCTTCCCCAGCTGTTCCTCCATTTTCCAGAATACTCCTGTTTCCCCACTGTTGGGGGGCAACATGATTTATGAGATGTGGTTGAACAGATGGTTTGGCCTCTGGGCAGGCGATAAGGGGTCCGCTCGCTCCTTCCTGTGGTTGGCATGCTCTGGAACACAACCCAGAATTTCTGTCCCTGGAATATGGCCTGCTCTCCCTGCTTTAAAAACGAATGTGAAGATGGGATCGCTGTTTAAAAAAATCTTTACAAGCCTGCCAAAGGCTCCTGGCCTTGTCGCACAAATCGGAAAGGTGGGGAAGACGAATGTTAGGAAGGTCTTCATCACGAAAGCATGTGCATCTTCATTCTCCAGAATGCATGATTCTTTGGTATAAGCATTTAAAGGTAACTGGATTTTTCCTCTTTTTTATATAAAGATTACGCAGATTATGCCTTAGTAAAAGTGTCTTTTTAGAAGATCATATGAAGCAAATAAAGCTTTTCAGGAAACGCTTAGATCTAATCAAGATATAAAGAAGATCCCCATGTATTATTAAAGTTACGCGTCGTCAGACAGGAAAAGGGTATTTTTAAAATTCACTTGATGGATCAGTTTAATAAGCAGCAAAAAAGAGTTTATGTCTGCAACGCTATATTTTTATTTGTGTTTCACTTCCTACCTCACTGCATTTCCAGTGAATTATTCCATCTACTACAGATGATCTCCTCTTTTTTGTTATTTGTTTTTGAAAGAATATAAAATACACACACAAACACACACAAAATACAGAACTAGGAAAGCACTTAATATATACATACACAAAGTGCCCTCTTTGACGGGACGTGCTGCATTGATTTCATTTATGATGCCCCATTCCCCTTCCAAAAATGCTGCTTATTCTTTTGATGGTACCTGGCCTTTCCCTTTAATTCATAAAAATTCCCCAGATATCTCTAAAATATATTTTTGTTTTCTCAAACCCTTTTATAGATGCTTTCCTAAGCCCTCTTGTGGCTCGCGCTTCACTGGGGGGGGGCATTCTGGAACATATCACTAGATCAGAGCTTGGCAGAAAGTACGGTAGTTACAACTAAAAGTTTGTAACTAGTGATTACAAAGTTGATTTTTGGGTATAGCAAGTAACTCGGAAATTACTTAGGTGCAATAAAAGTAGTTACGCTTGAATATTTCCTTTAAGAGCTTGTTTAGACTTATTTGGACAGGATTTTTCAGATTTTTTAAAATTTTTTTTCCATTTCTTTTAAGTAGTCTTTGGGTTTATGCTCGTGCATCGTCATAAACATTCCATGTCCCAACTGGCCACTAAAGGGAACCAGGAAATACTCCTTTGTATTTTCCTCTCCTTTTTAATAATAGCGATGCCGTGTGTAAATAATGCACGGTGCAGGAAACCGCTTGCATCAGCGGACTGACATGAACCTGGCTGTCCAGAAATAATGAGCAACGCAAGAACTTCATTTTAGAATGTCATGTTCAGAACTGCATGCCAGAGATGCTCAACTCATGCAATTCTTCCCAACACACTCTTTCACAAGGTTAAGTGTCTCCACTTGGTACGCAAGCATTGGTTTCTGACAGATCATTCTGAAAGTGCCTATGAGAAATGAATGCTTCCTTCAATTCTCTGATTACTTCCCTTCTTGTAATGTTTGAAGTTCTTCTTTCCCCTGTTTTTGAACTGTGCGGTACCCTTGGTCCTCCGTCTAAAGAGCTAATGGGCAGAAGGTGGCTTTCCACGAGGTCTCCAGTAGATCGGCAGGAGTTTCTCGCCACCAAAACTCCTGCTGAGTTAAAGCAGGCAGCTGAAATCAAGGAAGCATGCCAAGAAACAGGAGCAGCTTGGTTTATTAAAGTATTTGACACAGGGAGCGTCTCGTTCATTCCCTTCTTCTGAAGCGCTTTGGGACTGTACAGCTTGCCCAAGGCCACCCAGGCTGGCTCCTTTCCCAGAAGCTGCAGTTGGGAATTGAACTCTGGACCTGTGGGATATGCGTATCAACTGTCTGAAAGAGTGTGGATGCGTGCAGAATCAAGAGTGTTTTATCCACATCCACCACTACCCCCAGACAGGAAACAGAAGTAAAATAAATTTGGGTGAAATAAAATAAAACAGCAGATTTTTATTGTACTACAGAGCGCTTCCCCACCTCAGTGAAGTCTATTGATGGAAGAAATGTTGGTTTCCTTGAACAGGGCCAACTTACGGACCTTGCTTTAGCAAAACAAAATCAAACAAACACAGCAGGTTGGAGCAGTGGATTTGTTGTTGTTGTTGTTGTTGTTGTTAGTTATTAATTATTATTAATTATTATTTTTGCCCAGTGTTGACTGGGACTTAAAATGATCCAAACAGCAAATATCAATAAAAAAATTTGGGGTGTTTTTTGTTTGTTTGTTTTATTTGTTCATTTATGGAGACACGGAGAGAGATACCTGGTAGGTAGCTGAACTGTGGGGATGCTGTTGACAACAGTGCAGGAGTCAGAGCTGTAGATGGTCTACGTTGTAGATGTAGTTCTGTGTGGATTTTGCAGTAGAATTGGGACTCTGAGCTCGTAAAAGGCCCCATCCGAGTTTATGAGTGTTGAATGCGTTTGTTTCTTGCTCGTCCATCCAACGATCCCAGCGCTTTCTTGTTAGATCTCCCGTAGCTTCTATCCAACGGGCTGAGCCACCAAGAGCTGCCTTTGACCCTCAAATGAAGCAGACAGGAGAGCCAGTTGTCAGGACGTTCTTCCTGATCGGTACCTAAAATCTCCCTGTTCTTTGGATTTGAATCTTTCCGTTCCAGTCGTGCGCTCAGGAACAGAAGAAAACAAGTTCTGCATATCTTTTGCATGACAGCCCTTCAGATATTTGAAATGACAGCCATCTCAGCTCCCTGTCTTTTCTTTTGAACCAAATGAGCTCCCTCAATGCCTCCCCCTAAAGCTTGCTTTCCAGATTCTTTACTATCCAGGTTGCCAGATAATAAACACACACCAGAAAAACACGGCCTCACCACCGAGGCACAATATTTACATGGTACATAAAAGAGAGGATAGGCTGGAATATGCCAGAAATCCTTGCGAAAGCTAATCCATGTTCGAAGCGCATGTAAACAATTCGACCTGAGAGCTTGCAGTTGGTCCCAAAGTATTCTAACTGGAAATCTCTGATTTTGGAAGTGGTCTCGGGCTGGGTTTCATGGCTGGGTGGAGCAGGTGGGGCCAAGGATATCACGGCCGTTTACCTTAAAGCTCCTGTTTGCCAGGAAGAGATTTCTTTGCATTTTTTTGAACAGGAAAACTCTGGTGCTGAAAAAATCGGGAAACGACCTCAAGGGCCATATATTAAGGAAGTGGGTGTGGTTCCCTTGGGACCCCCCAAAGAGATGCAACCTTAGCATCTTGGGGGTATTTCCTCCGCTGATGCGCTGCCCTGTTCTGAACAAGTACCATTTCTGTAATCTCTTGTTTTAAACCTTCCAGGCCCGAGGAGTCGGTCTCCGAGATTCCGCTGCTCCCTCGAGATGTCGTCCACGTGCTCACCCAGCAGCTCACCTGCTGCGTGTCCCAGACCTCCCGTCAAGAGATGGCCGAGGCTGGCCTCCACCAGGCCCTCCTGCTGGTCAAGTTCTTCATCATTATTTGCAGGTATGTTCTGTCGTCTGCCTCTTGAATTGCCATTTTGCTTCTTCACGATTCCCGTCTGTGGATTGCGGTCCAGTCACCCACGAAGCCTTTGGGTTTATTGGTTTCTTACAGCCTCTGTTCTGCATTTGTAGTACAGTCACCGCTAGGTGTGTATGTGTGTTTTTTCCCCCCACTTCCACACAATGAAATTCCACGCAACGATGTTCTTGTGGGAGAGAAGCCAGCAATGAACGAGGACAAGTTGAAATGTGAGCCTCCTGTAGAAACTGTCCTGCTCTGGCCACCTCATGAGAAGGGAGAGTTTTTTCTGGAAAAGACAATAATGCTGGGAAAAGCTGAAGGCAGCAGGAAAAGAGGAAGGACAAATACAAGATGGATTGACGCCCTAAAGGAAGCCACAGGCTTGAGATGGCAAGACCTGAGCAGGTCCGTTGAGGACTGGGCATTCTGTTGCTCTCCTCTGGCAGTCGCGTGGGCAAAAAGGGAAACCCTTGGTAGTTTGGGAGATTCATTCTGGGAAGTTCATTGTAGAATTTTCTACAGCGCTCCCCAACCTGGGGCCCCCAGATGTTCTCGGACTACAACTCCCAGAAACCCTGGCCGGCACAGCTCGGGGTGAGTGAAGGCTTCTGGGAGTTTGAGTCCAAGAACATCTGGGGATCCCCAAGGTTGGGTTCCAGGGGACATGTTTTCAGAACCAACAGATCGAAGCATTATATTCGGAGGCAATGCCTCGCGCCTCACCCGGGGAGTCCTCTTTGGGTGTGTTAAAATCCTGTATCCTGATCTCGGCAGGTGGCCTCCCGATGCCCTTGTCGAGCAAGCGTGTCTCCTCAAGAGAGCTTCCTTGATACCAAGAACTGGTTTAAGGAACTGCTCCCTTCTTCCAAACCCTATGGTTCAATACGCACCAGGCACAATTTCGCGGAGGCATTTTAGAAACCCATCTTTCCAGTATGGCATCGTTGTTCAAGGGAAAGAGATAATCTGAGATAAGCATTAGCATTGCTCCTGGTCCTTCCTTCCTTCCGAGAGATGTGTTATGACGGTAACGGACTTTGAATGCGAGGTACACCCTTCGTCCCCGAATACCCTCCTTCATTGTTCTGTGATCGCGTCAAACTCGCTAGCGTTCCCCACCACCACTGCGGGCTCTCCCTCCCTGACTCTTGTTTCCATGGGAACCAGCCGGACACGGTTTTTTGGCACATCTCTGCCTTCTTGGTCTCTTGGAAGACGACCCTTCTCTCACCCCTTTGTCTGCCCCTGGAACCATGCGGAGTCGGACCTTTTTTTGTCCGAGAGAAGCACCTGGCTTCTAGCAAATCCCTTCGCTCTCCCGCTGAACGTGCCATGAGATGTCTCAAGAGCAAGCCCAGAGGGAGAGCGGATTCTAGGCGCTTGGCGTCTTGATCCGTCAGGTGCCCCCCCCAGCTTCCATCTGTCTCTTTATACGAACCCATCTTCACCCACGGAGAGGGTGCTGTTTCCGTTTCGTGGTGAGGCGAATGAAGGAAATTCGCAGGTCAGGGCGTTCGGCCGGGTTCGGTTGCCAATTTTTGGAAGTTCCCTTTCGGTCCTGATGCCAGGATGTTTGCAACAGAAATTCTTCCCTTCGAGGGAGAGTCTGGAGTTGTAACGGTCCAGAAGGATGGAATTTACCGTCCGGCGGAAATGGGTATTCTTCCCTGAATATAACATGCCATAAAAAGCACAGGTACACAGAGGTACAGAAAGAAAGAAGAGGTCCATAAGAGCAAAATTGCTGCCCTCAAAATAATCCTATCAGTGTATAAATCTGTGCCCTTTCTCAGCTTGAAAACCTGGAGGAGATCACGTACTTCAGCTGGCTTGAGCAAGTGAGCCAAGTTACATCCTGCAAGGGGATCGCTGGTCCTTTTTAGACAGTGACTCATGTACACTGAAATATGCACACACAAAAAAGATTAGGATCAGCCCTAGCTTTCCTTATTGGTGTGTCATTTCTAACCCGTCAAATCGTTTTTCAGCCAGCATTGTCCGAAGCAGTACAGCTTGTTGGCTGAGTTTTTTTCTTCACTTACTGCTTTGCTTCTCTACAATTTTTCATGGAAGTTTTCCTCCTTGTATCGTAAAAATAACTGGGCTGATTTTAGAACGTGAGATCTCCTGCCAGGCCTGTTCCAGCCGCTTTCCCCTGGTTTGTCTTAGGTGGTGGGTCTCTGGCACACACAGAAGGGGTAGCTGCCCGAGCTATTTCAGGGGCACAGGTGGAAGAGGGCTGTTTTTCCTGGTCGTGGCCAGCTGGAACCAGTACATTTGACCCCCCGGACTCTAGAATGAGAAACTTTGGCCCTTTTCTGCAAAATGAGGCAACAGCTGGTGACGGAGCGGGAGAGGAGAGCTTTCATTTCTGTGGAGTTGTGTGTTTGTGTGTGTGTGTGTGTGTGTGTGTGATGTTCTGTCATGGTCCAGTGGCTAATTTAAGCCATTCGCATTAGTGAATTCCCCTTGGATTGGAACGTGCTGCTCGCTCATTTTCGTTTGACTCTCGTGCTGAGACGAAAAACTATGTCTAAAATTCATGATAATACAAATGTCACACACCAGCCTTTCCCAGCCTGGCATGCTTGAGGTGTGTGTGTTGGGCTGCAGCTGGCATCCTTCCCGTGTTGGCCGCGGATGATGGAAACTGTAATCAATGCACATCTGGCAGTGCCAGGTTGCGGGAAACGGTTTGCAGCGGGGTTAGTCAAAAACAAAAGTTTTGAGGCTTCCTTCCTGACTGCCACTGCCTAACCTTGGAAGTGCATCAGGAAGACCTTCCGTGGAAAATGTTCTGCTAGGTTTTCCTAACAATAATTCAGGATACAGTAGATAGCTTCGAATCAAGAATACAACAAGGTTGAACTGCTAGATAGCTCAGTGGTTTAGGGAGTTTGATTCCCCCACTGGGCCTCTTTGATAGGAGCTGAACTTGATGATCCGTGGGGTCCCTTCCAGGCCTGGACTTCTAAGATAGTGATGATGATATTATATTCTTATTCAGTCTTTCAAACTATTTGCAATAGCTAGTTCCAGTTAAGTTCTTGCTTTTCTTGTGAGCATCTAGTGGTGGTGGAGGAGACGCAGTTCCTTAACTACCGTATTTTTCCATGTATAAAACTATACTTTTGTTTAAAATCTTTAGACTAAAAATTGAGGGTCATCTTATACACGGAAGTAAGCTGAGGAGAGAAAAAAACAACGTGGAGGGGAAAGCAGGGATCAAAGTGATCCTGCACGGCTTTGACCCCTGCTTTCCCCTCCACTTGCTTAGCAAAAGGAAAGCAGGGATCAAAGCGCTGCAGGATGGCTTTGATCGTTGCTTTTACCTCTGCTTACTAAGTCCCATGGGGCTTAGCAAGTGTAGGGGGAAAGGATCAAAGCAATCCCATGGCTGTGTAAGGGGGAAAGGGATCAAAACGATCAGGCAGTCGTGGGATTGCTTTGATCCCTTTCCCCCTCCTTTTGCTAAGCCCCGTGGGGCTTCACACGAAGAGAGAAAGCAGGGATCAAAGCAATCCTGCAGTGCTTTGATCCCTTTCCCCGTACACTTGCTAAGCCCCACTTAGATTTCTTAATTTGGGGTGAGAAAAGGGGGGGCATCTTATACATAGGGTGTCTTACACACAGAAAAATACAGTATTTTATATTTTATTAAAAACAATAAGCATGGCCTTTGGTTTTCCTGCCCCCGGGGCAGCAAACAAACAATACTAAACTTTTAAATCTCAACAACCGTGAAACCAGACGTAGAGCAGCAAATGCGGGAGGAAAACATCCAAAACGGCAACATGATAGAAATGATGAGCCAAAACAAGAAATGTGTTTCAAAGTCCGCCTGAGCAAAATTAAAATAATTAATTAAAAAGAGCACTGCCTAAGAGTGGAAAGAGTTGGGTTCAGGTTCTCTTCAGGGAGGGAGGCTGAAAGATGGGAGGGAAAGCGACCTTCCTGGCTATTGCTTGTAAGCCTGTTTGGACAAGAAACTTTGAGGTGGACCCAAGTGTGTGTTTGGACTCTCAAAGCTCATTGGTGGTAGGGGATGATGAGAGCTGCAGTCCATCAATGTCTGGAGGACCAGCAGTGCCCTGGTGCAGAAGCATTTACCTGTAGGAGAAAAGGGTCCTTCAGAGATTTGGGTCCAAAGCCATCTAGAGCTGTAGAGGTAAACGCCAAACCTTATCACCCGTTTTTCTCTCCATTTAACTGGAAGTTCTGGGCTTGAGTCCAGAGACCTTTTGCGTGTAGATGATGTGTGCCATCTACGTATATGTGGACGAGGGGTGCTGTGCCATGGAACTGTCATTTCTCCACCAGTTGTTAGGATGCTGGTCGGGAGGAGGGCGTTGCAGAAATGGGAAAGAACGATTCATTTAGGGAGGCGAGGGGGGGGTATTGCTGAGAGTCGGTCCGTGCGTGTTTCAGGCACCCCAGAAAGGAGAAACCCTGTCGCCCAAAGACAGAAAATTCCAATTAGCATAAAACCGCATAGACCTGACTTATCAGTACGGATGCAAAATTAGAAACGGCACGCAATTCAAAGAGAAAGGCCGTGCGTCTGACTCAAGACCGGAAAGAAGATGCCTGGTTATCTATATATCCCCAAATGGGAGATAAAAAAGATTGAGTCATGCGGGAAACCTTTGAGAGCTTCCGTCGACATTGCATGCAAAACCTCTCAAATTTTGTCCCCTTGACCCGGCGATCTGCGGGCTTGCTGCCGAATCGCAGGCGACGTCCGGGTCCCCTGATCTCCCTGCTCCGGGTTCGTTTTCTTTCAATCAGATTTAGACGGGACACCCTTCCGGATGGGGGTGGGGGCCCCTGTTCCTGCATACAACCGCCTGCAGCCACCCCCATAACCCCTGCCAGGCTGCGAAAGCTGAGGAACCCGGCGCATGGCGCTCTCCTTTTCCAGACCTTGTTTGCTGACCTTGTTTGCCCTCGGCTTTTTGGGATGAAATACACAGCCGAGAGCGGCTGCTTTTCCCTCCAGCCTCCTAATTGGTCTTTTCTGGCCTCTGGCTGCTTCGGTCTCTGGCACTGGAATGGTTTTGCTGCGCTCTTGATTTGCCAATGAGCCATTGTTCCTGCTATGGGTCTCCTTCCTCCTTCTTGGTGCGCATTGCTACTGGGGGCCTTTTCTCTCTCTCTGTCTCTCTCTCTCATACATACACATGCATACAGAGTTATTCTTGGCCTGGTTTGAGGAGGGGGCAAAAAAAACCCCATTGTTCCCCCCCCTTCCACTCTCTTCCTGTCGGTTGCAAATGAGAGATAAGACCCGGCTGATAATTGCTTCTCTGCACGCATTCCAGCAACCCACAGGCCAGCGCCTGAAACAGGAAAATGGGGGGCAGTTGACGTTTTTGGAGAGGCTTGGCAGCAAAGTCCCTTATCCGTGGCGTGGCTGAGGAAGGTGGACATGGAGGGCTGCTGAGTGTCTCTTTGTGTGCATGCATGCATGCAATGCACACCTGGTTTTTCCAGAATATGTTCTGATGTCCGTGCGCAGGGAGATGGGTCATGAGACTCTGGAACTCCCTCCCACTGGAGGCTTGGCTGTCCTTCCGCAAGCAGGCAAACAGACCTCTCTCTTCAGCCAAGCTTTCTTTTAATGACTGGCTGGCTGAGTAGAGTTGCTAGATGGATAGTTGTGCCTTTACTCCCACTGGAGGCTTGGCTGTCCTTCCGCACTTGTTAGATGGATAGTTGTGCCCTTATGGCTTTGAGTGTGTTTTCAGTGTTGCTTAGGGTCTGTATGCCATTTGGGTGCAAGGATCACCTCAAGGGCCAGCCTGTGGACAAGCCCCGAGCCTTCTCTGACCGTGAGGGAATGGTAGAAGGTGAAGAGGGGCAGAAAGATGGGCTGGGTTTAAATCCTGGGGGAGTCCCCCCCGTCAGCAAAGCAGATGTGCCGTTTGGGTATTTTTAAAAAATATATTATTAGATGGGAATTTTCAGCCTGTTATTATGGGGGGTTTCCTTGTACAGTAAGGGTTTTGAATATTTTTCTGAGTGTTTGGTTTAAGCGTTCTTTATTAGTACTTGCTTTGAAAGTGGAGCTGGAGAGAGCAATTAATTATCTTGCAGCCCTTCCGTCGCTTTCGAAATAGGGCAGCTTAAGTGAAACCAGCAATGCTAATTTTCCCGCTGCCTATAGATTGCACTGGGCTTTAGTTGAATACATTATGTTGCACCCTGCGCCCATTTGCTTTTCATGTATAGATTTATCATATCGACACCCATGTTCAAGAATTTTTTGCCTTGGCAAGTGTTTTGAACCAATGCAAAAAATGACTGGCCAGGGTTTTGCAGGCGTAAATGCTTTATAAACCACTGTCTGCTAAGGCTGACGCCCAATAAAACTTCATGGTGGCTTTAGCTTCCTCCAACAGAGAGGAACGAGACTTTAATTAAAACCAATTAAAATGTCATAAAAGTGGGTGGTGAGTGTCTCCGGAGCTCGTCACCAGAGTAGACGGTACAAAGATGAGGGTTTTAGAAACCATCATGTTAGGAATGTTATTGGAAAGAGGGAGCGAGACCTGCAGGCTGACCTTACTGGACATGTCTGCAGGTGGGGATTGGCAGAAAGGGTTATCTCTAATTTCTCCGGAACCTTGAGGGCTAGAAAACTGCCTCTCTCGTTTTAAAGCCGAGCTGTCTAGGAACTCATGCCCTGCTTGTTCCTGTTGAGGAACTCATTTAGATGCAAATTTCTGTATCTGAAGTCTGGCCAGGGTGACGGCCCCTCCTCTTTCCCCGACACTCATCCAACCACCGTGGAGTTCATTTCTGTACATTTCCTCGCACCGAGGTGCTTCATACATAATAAATATTATCATTATCCCTCTCTTTTGTGATATCTTAGCATTCGTGTCGGAAAATTAGCCGGCCTGGGCCTTGGCTGTTGCAGGCGACAAAAAGGTTTCTCTCTCTCTCTCTCTCTCTCCCCCCTGCCCTGGTTCCTGGCTCGAAAGCCAGATTCTTCCCGTTATTAACCGTATGGGGCCTTTCTTTGCAGGAATCTAGAAAACGTCCAACCAGACCGTCCCCCAGCGTTTGTTCACGAGGTGCTCCGTTTGCTGTCTGCGTATTCGAAGAAGGTAAGCTTGAATCTTGGGCACAGCGGTGGACCGGGTTGGTTGTGTGGATGCTTCCGATTCCTTGAAACCAAGGGGAGGCGTGACGAGGGGTGATGAAATGCACTCAGAAGTCCTTAGGAAAGCCAGGTGGATCCGGGAAGGGAGAAGAAAGAGGAGCGTCTCTCAGGTGTGCAGGGACAGTGAGGGCGCATTAGGCAGAGGTAACATCCGGACGTGGATCGCCAGCGTCTCTTAATCCTCCAACCCCATTTTTTATTCCCCATCAGTGAAAAAGTAGAGAGGAGAAACCGTCCAGTCTGGAAGCACAGTAGCTGGGTGGCTAGAGAAATGTCAGGATCTTTCCCTTCCAGGTCACTGTCGCTGTATAGAAAACCATTGTCTCCTTCCGGACGTATTTCTTTGGAACCCGCCCGAATCCTGTTCCATTTTTCTGCCCCATTCCGTTTTTTCTTGTCTAACTTTGAAGGGGGTCCTTGTTATTGCACGAAATTAATTAGCGCCCTTGGTCTCTCCTACCGTTCTCCTCTCTTCCGAGCGGCACCTCATGGCAGGAGTGCATTTCGGCTAACGGTTTGGTTAAGGGGAGGGGGAAGAGGGTTTTTAAAAAGGGACACACGCACAGCATCACTCTGTGAAATCTCAGTCTGCAGATTAACTAGGGTTTCTCTCCCCTCCCTCCTCCCCATCCTTGACAGCTCAAGAGCACCCGGGGGCCGAGTTTGCCTTACAGGAGCGAGCTGGAGACGGTCACCCTCTACGCCTTACACCTCTATGAGTGCCTCTTCGATCCGTACCAGACGTGGAGGAGGCAGCTGAGTGGGTGAGTCAGTCCCTCGGCTCTGCTTTCTCATCCGTTCCCATCTCGTGAGGCGCGTGGCCCCTGCCACTGGTGACCGGGCAGAGCCTTTGTTGGGTCTGCCCAGATGCCCAAACGAGTTTACCCCAGCTAATGGCTTGGCATGGCACGGGAAGTGCTTGGCACTGCTTGGTCGCCGAGTTGATGCTGTTCCCGGCGGAAACCACATTGTGTGGAACCCCCTTCTATCTATTTATTTATTTATTTATTTAATACCCCGCCTATCTGGCCCACCAGACCACTCTGGCTTCACATGACAAATCCTTTGGGTTTTACGTTCCCCTTGTTCTGGAACAAGCCAAGAGGCTGCCAGCTTAGTCAACTGGTAAGAGGCAGGGAGGGAATGGGAGTCAAAGCTTGGGGGAAAAAATTACATTTTCTGGCCGAGTGGTTAAAATGCAGTACTGCGGTGAAGGCTCTGCTCAGGACCTGAGTTTGATCCCAAGAGACCCAGGTAGTCAGCTTGAGGTTGACTCCACCTTCTGTCCTTCTGGGGTTGGTAAATTGAATACACCGCTTTGTGGGGGGGGCGGCAAAGTGTAGCCTGCCTAATTGAATTGTAAACCCTCCAGAGGGTGCTTTAAGGGCTGCAGAGTCATATATAAGCGGCACCGTTTGCTTTTCTGGATGAAAGCCAGCGTCGACATAGGCTGTGGCATTCTCTAAGTCGTAATTCTCGGAAGTCACTTGCTCAAGCCCTAAGTGCGCCTGCTGCAGGACAGGTTAACCCAGAGGAACAGCTGAGCGGGCCGTGGCCAGAGGCTGCACGGCGAGAATGTCTGCGCCGCACAGTAAGAGCGACAGTTAGCAGCCGAGCGCCACTGGGCAGTTTGTTCTCTTAGAGATGTGCCTCCGCAGAGACTTCTGGATCGGAGTCTACGAAATCAGATAAGGGTCATGGAAGTGCAAAATGCACAGGAACCACATCCACTGCAGAGAACGTATCATGTTCCCACCATGTTCCCCCTCTTTTCCCGTCTCCTTTTGAAATACCTGGCAAGGTAATGTGGGTTGCAAGAGAATGATGGCCAGAAGCAAGGAGGGGGCTCCCGGTCTCCTTTGACATTCATTGCATGGGGCTAACTTTTGGCTTGCTCTTTTGGGAGCCTGCCGTATGGACCTTAAATCAGATATTGAATTCCTCTGTTTGGCTATAGAGGGAGGCTCAGGAAATCACCCGGATATACCTTTGGCTTCTGAATTGTCCTGTCTACCAAAACACTTTGGGGTCTGAATTTACATTGTTGGTAACGGCTTTCAAGGCTCCACATGGCTTGGGATCTAGCTCTTTGAGCGAATACCCTTGCCGTAGTTCTCTGCCCAGTCACTGAGATCTACGGGGGCTCCTTGTGTCCCCCCCCCCCAGTAGAGAAGAGAGCACTTATATGGAAATGCAGGCACGGTTTCTCGCCTGCAGCACGCCCGATAGTGTATTTATTTAAAACCCGTCTGTTCACCCAAGCGGTTAGCACTTCAGAAGGCTGACCCTGGGCTTCTCTTCCTTCAAGCTGGGGGGTGGTGGGGGTGGGGGTGTTTAAAGTGAAGCCTGATGCTTATAAACCAACCCACAGCCCTGAAAGCATTCTCTGAGTGGTTTACAATTTAATGATGCAGGCTACACATCGCCCGCCCACCCCCTGAGCCCCAGCCAGCTGGGTACTCATTTTACTAACCTTGGAAGGATGGAAGGCAGAGCAAACCTCAGGCCGGCTACCTGGGATTGAACCCAGGTACGTGAGCAGAGTTTTGGCTGCAGTACTGCAGTTTAACCACTGTGCCACAAGGCTCTCTGGTTTCAAATATTACATGGTTTTAAAACTATTTTTTAGAACGCCCTTTGCTGTTCCAGTCATTTTAAATTCTTTCAAGTGGTTCTTCCAGATGTTAATACACCTTGAGATGGATTGATGTACATCTGCTTAGAAACACTTTAAATAAATAAATGTTGGTTGTTATGAACGGTCAAATAGTTTCCTACTTATGGCGGCCTCGGTAAGCTTCCAGGGGTGTATGAATGGTTTTGCCAGCGCTGCCACCACGACCTCTGTGAGTTTCCATGACGAAGCAGGGATTCGAACTCAGGACACGTGAGTGCTAGTCCAGCACTCTGCCTGCTACACCATGCTGGCGAAGGATGGATGGATGGATGGATGGATGGATGGATGGATAGATGGATAGATAGATGGATAGAGTTTAATTAGACAGACAGACAGACAGACAGACAGACAGACAGACAGATAGATAGATAGATAGATAGATAGATAGATAGATAGATAGATAGATAGATAGATAGATAGATAGATAGATAGATAGATAGATAGATAGATAGATAGATAGATAGATAGATAGATAGATAGATCTATCCAGGGATTTGATCAGATAATTTAGAAGTCTTGGAAGCAATTGGAACGAATGCAGGACTGTATTTCTTTGGAAAATCAGTGCAAATGATATTATAAGCAGCATCTGGAAATCTGCTGGAGGTTGAATGGGTAGAGTAGCTCCTTTGATTCCCCCCCCCCAAAGGTCTGGATTGCATGCCAGCTGCCAAACTCTGCAGACCAACATAAGCTGTCATCATCCCTCTGAGAATTCTGCCTGGTAGCCCTTGAACCTGGGGATCCTCTCTGACAGGAGCTGATGCTTGGGATCTGCCGCCGCCCCCCCCCCTTGGTGCTTTATATACAACACCTCTCTGACGCTCTTCTGTCTTTCTTGCCTCTCCCAGGGAGATCGTCAGCATGAAGGAAAAGAGCAAATACAAGTTTGCACCAGCTGTGTTGCCTCAAGAGTTCTGCGCTTTTTTCCAGGGTAAATGCCATCCCCGAAACTTCTCTCCCTCCACCCCATGACCCTTGGGCCTTTCCCATCTCCTAAGAAAACCAGTATTCAGGTTCCTAGCTACCTTCTTCCAGCCTGGGAGAAAACGTGTTTGCACAGAGCCGAAGTCAGATTTGGGAGTGTACTGAATGATTCAGTTATATTTATTTATTTACTTCGTCTATTGCAAATCGTTCACCGTTATGTTGTTGGTGTCAGCCGATGGCTCTGTTCATCTCTGGCTGGGAGGTGGGTTTTTTTCTTCTTTTTTCCCTTTTTAGTGGGTTGCATCCTGATAAACAAATGTATTTCTATTGTGGTTGGTGCATGCTGCACCAGATATTTTAGAGATGAGGCCTTAAAAGTCAGTCCAGGAATTCTAGATTTCAGCAATGTCACGTATAAAGAAAAACTGCTTTTCTTCCCTCTGGGGAAGAAGTTCCAAATCTGATCCCTCTTCTGCACGGTACAGCGTGCGGAGACTTGAGCTCTCTCCCACAGGCTTGGCTCGGCAGCATCTCCTGGAGGGCCTGAGTCGGCCGCCCTTCCGTACAGATGAACGTTGGGGATTTGAGATCCTCCTCCTCCTGCTTCTCTTCTTCCTTAGGAACATGGGAGGATGCCTTGTCCTGAGTTTGAGCCTTGGCCGTTCTCCCTCTTGTCACTGTGAAATCTGACCGGCAGCTGCTTTTCTGGGTTTCGGTCGAGAGCCTTCTCTAGCCGTGCCTGGAGACGCGGAAGGTTGGGGGCTTGCCATGACTGTTTCCAAGTTCTGGCTGAAACCGAGAGGTTTGGAGTTAAAACAGAAGAGTTGTAATTTTTTTGAGAGAGAGAGATTGAGGACCGTTGAGTTTAGTTCTGGCAGAGAAAACAAAGTTCTTGGTAAGCATGAGTCGAGAGGCAGTCTCTTTCCTTAGGCTCTGGCTGTACCTGCAGCCCAAACTTCGCGTCAGTTTCTCATTGTCAGAGGTTATGATTTGTGTGTTTGTGTGTGCAAAAAAGAGGACTGCAGGGTTGGAGTCCATCTCTCTTTGCAACCAATCACACCCCTTTGGTGTTTAAGAGGAACAAGTTTTGAACCTACTGTTTCTCTCCGGCCATAAACAGACCTTCCAAGCTCTCCTCTCTCCCACTGCCCATCTTTCATGCAGCCCGGATTTGCAACGGCCTCAAGCTGTCCTTTTCCAACGGCCCACTCTCCCTCCCTCCCACGAAAAGCAGCTTTTAAAGTATAATTAATTTGGGGGGGGGTTGAGTCCCCCCCCCACGGGGTTTGCTCCCCACTTTTCTATGTTGTCATTTTCAGCTCGCAGCTTCTCCTGCCAAGACTTTTATTAGTTCTACACAGGAGGGTTAATGTAAACTGAAAGACAAATATATATATATATATATCTTTTTGCAGGTTACTAGGGCAACTCAGAGTGACCTTTTTTTTCTTTTTAAAGTTGGGGGGGCGATGTAATTTTGCTACGATCTCGCAGGTATCAAAGGGCCATTATCTGTCTCCTCCTCTACGCGTTTAAATTTGATTTATCTCTTCTGCGCCTTTATATTTATCCTCGGAGATATTGAAGAGCTTGCGGTCAATAAACGCCGGGGCTAAGCTCCGTGAGAAGAAACTGTGCAGCTGGCGGTGGAGGTGACTTGGTTTTATTTAATTTTATTTAAGAGAGTAAGTGAAGCACCAGCTTGATTAAGAGGAGCGGCTTTGCGCAAAGCGTTGGAAGAGATTAGCAAAAGAAAAAAAAATGTCCCTGGGAGTTTTAGGGGCTTTTTTGGGGGGAGGGCATGAGGTGTCAGAACATGAACGGTCTGGCTGTTTCGAGATGGTCTGAGTGCGGCTGGGGGATTTCTCAGCGCTCCTTGGAAGGCCAAGCAGAGCGAGACAATCCCTGCGCTCATATTGGGCACGGCTTGCAAAACACAGAAGTTTTGACATGTTTTGACTCTCCTCTCAGTCCCTAGCCAAGCCGTTGCCCGTACTTCTGACTTTGGAGCTACTTGTAAAGATTCCCTTGAGGTCCTTTCAAAGGGAAGGTGGCAGGACTGTGGTTGGTAGGGGTGGACAGTTTTGATGCTCTACAGTGGTCCCCCAACCTTGGGCCTCCAGATGTTGTTGGACTACAACTCCCAGAAGCCTTCACCACCACCTCTGCTGGCCAGGATTTCTGGGAGTTGAAGTCCAAGAACCTCTGGAGGCCCACGGTTGGGGGACCACTGCCTATCAGACCTTGGGGAACATCGCTCTTTGCTCTTTGGACTCCAGCTCTTCGGATCCCTTTGCCGGCATAACAGTCGCTGTTCCTAGCCCTGGGTGTGCCACCTGGGCAGGTGGAAACACATTGCCCTCTCTCTCTAGCACGGGTCTTGTTCAAGAGTCGTGGCGCTCTGTGCCCCTTCCAGCCTCCTTTTGTTAAATGGGGAGATGCGGGGGGCGGGTCGGAGAACTCAAAACAGAAAATCCTATTCCTCCCTTTAACAGTTTTGAGGCAGAAAGAAAAACTCCCAAGCCAACATGTCTCAGTAAAAGGGTGACTCGAGTGGAAAAGTGGTTGTGTGAATCTGGATCTGGTGCCAACCGGCGTTCCCCAGGGCTGTCGTCCTCTTGTTCTTTCATCATCCCACCTCCCGCCCCCACAACTGGCCCAAAGTATGGTCAACACAAGTTTGGAGTTACAGGTATAAACATCCAGGGATTTGAGTCAAGTTGGACAACTCACGTCCGTGACTCAGCTGTGACACAACTCGGTTTATTGTCGTTGTGTTGTTTCTCAGTGACACGAACTTGGCTCCTGGCTCGGAAGCCACCCCTCCTTTTTTCGGGGAGGGGGGCAGAGCTTATTTTTAATAGGGACTCGGACCCAGAGCGTCCCTGTGCATGCCATCACCGGGGTGACACAGCAGACCTCTCCGTTCTGTGGAGGAAAGCTGCTTCCCATACCACCAGAACCGATCCTGCCCTGGCTCAAGACAGATCAGATTTAAGCAGGCAAACCTACGCGGGGTGCCCAGGCCGAAACAAGAGGTGATCGGCCACAAGTGGATTGTTCAATGCGTGGCTGAGAAATCTGCTGTGCTGATTTCACGGCCTGTTTGGCCACAAAAAGCTGGGACTATGGAGAGCTGCGTCTAGAGCAAGGACCAGAGGTTTGCTTAGATGCTACCGAGGCCCTTTTGTGGTGCGAGGGCCATTTTCATGGAATCCTAGCGTCATGGAGCCTCTTAAGGCCATCGAGTCCAACCCCCTGCTCAAGGCAGGAGCCCAAATCCAAGCAGAGCTGACAGAGGGTGGTCCCGTTTCCCCTTTGAATCCTTCCAGCGTTGGAGCGCTGCTCACCGCCTCCCCCTGAGATCACGGAATTCATGGTCGTGCTGCTCTAACAGTTGAGAACTTTTTCCTGATAAATTCAGCCTTAACCTGTCTTCCTGTCACTTCAGCCCATGATGAGGTGCATTTTTGTCCCGGTGCAGAACTGGAGGAGTTCCCCCCACCCCCAATCTGGCCCAAAGCATGAAAGAAAAATGGCCCTCAAGGTAGCCATCGGTGCCTCTGCCGTGGTGTGCCGTTTTTTGCTTCCCCGGCAGCTGTTTAAGGTCAAAATAGCCCTCTGCCCCCAAAACAGAGAAGGCTAGCCCCACTGGCTGTAGAGATACGACACTTCCTGGTCTCTACCTTAGCGGACGGTGGAGGCACCTGCGTTCTCTTCTCCATCCCGTGAATCAGGCTTTGCAACGTCCCGTTCCAGGGCTAAACATCCCTCTCCTTGTTTCCTAGAGTGTTTTCAAGAGGACGAGCAACTCCCCGAGGCGTTGCAGCTGCGGCTGGTCCATCTCTTCGGAGCCATTACCTCTGGAGCCAAGGTAAGGTGTTCTCACCTTCCTGCCCTCTCTGCCTCCTTGCTTCCTGAAATGTAGCTGCTGCACTTTCGCAAGAACCTCAGAAGGAAGCGGGCCGTGTTTCGTGACGGGAACGGCCTTGAACACGATGGTCGGCGGGGGTGTTTTCCTTGGTCTTTCTTGCTCTCCACACCGAAGTCCCGTGAGGACGATGTCCTTTAGTTCCCATGACAGGTTAAGCTGAGAAGCAACGGCTCTGCCTCCGGCCACCTGAGGAGCCTATGGGGGCTGAGCAGGGATTTGAACTCGGGTCTTCCTCGCCCAGTTTCAGCATGGTTGGCTTGCTCTACCCTACGGCTTCTCCAGTGCAGGCCCTATTAATAAGGTCCTCTTGGAGAAAGTTGTTGGTTAGGTTCTGGCAGTGAATCCCTCAACAAGAATGGCTCGATCGCTCCATGGTGGACGTCTGTGGCTGTGGAGCCAAAGTTGAGAGTTCGATTCCCCCCATCTGGGCCTCCTGGGAGAAAGGCTGGACCCGATGATCTATAGGGTCCCTTCCAGCTCAGCAGTTCTAAGATGATGATTATTACCATATATTATTACATTTCTTTAGGGTCACAAGTAATGATAAAAGGCTAGTTAGAAATAGAATAGAACCCCTTAATCCCAGCGCTAGAACTTGGGCTGTTTTAACCAATCATGCAAGAACCTGCCCTGTTTCTCTCTCCAAAGCCAAGCATGAGCATTTGGGGTGGGTGGAAAGGGCAGAGGGGCTAGCCTGGGGTCAACGGGACACTGAAAAACATGTCCTACAGGTTGAATCCAGTGGTGTCCAGCTGTTCACTGGCAAACCTTTGGTCCAGGAGGTGTCTTACACCACCTTCCACATTCTGAAAGGGCCCTCGCCCTCCCGGTTTGCAGGAGGAAAGAAGAAGAAATAAGAATAATATGAAAGCACCTCCCGTTCCCCACTCACAGAGGCCTCCACCGATTCAGGCTGTTGCACAAATGGAAGAGCTCTTGATTTCTAAAGTGACACCGACCTTGTGCAAGCATCCATAGGATCCACAAGGTTCATCTTTCAAGTCTGCGCACCCCTAGATCCTAATAATTGCTGTTTCATGAGGGTTCTAAGAATCCAGGGATATACATGCACAGCCACCCACTAAATCTTACCTCCAGATAAGTTTTAGTGGGTGACAGCAATGACCCTCGAGTCCAGGGGGTCTTTTGGTGACCCTTTTCCAGGTCTTCCAGGTAGACAGTACGTGGAAGTGCTTTTACCAGTGCCTTCCTCTAGGGGCGCTGTGGAGCTGTGCCGCTGGCCCAGGCTGGCTCTTCTCCCAGGAGGCACGAGGGGAATTCGAACTCGGTTCCGCAGCCAGTTGCCTAACTTCCTGAGCTCTTCAGCTGGCGACGGAACAAGACAAACCCAGATTTAAATCTGAACCACAGCCGTGGCTTCAGAGACCCCAGAGAATGCGGTTTTTCGGGAACCTTCGACAGATGTCGCTGTGGGACTACGGAGGGGGGAAACACTCTTGCAGCATAAGGGGTGCCCCCCCCGTCAAGACCAGAAGGGCATTCTAAGAAACTAGAGAACTCGCATCACAACCGTCCCGATCCATTCCCAGTTTTGTACACGGTGCACAGATCCTTCGGCCGTGGAGCGCCTTCTGTTTCTCCGATGCCCCTGATGATGCTCATGAGCTGTGAGCAATAAAGAGATCTAAAGGGGTTTTCCTTGAGTATGGGTTGCGTCTCGCTTGCCGGGCCTCAAACCCAGGCTTTTTGGCTTCTTCCTCTTTTAACAGCAAAACGCTCTGCTGGTGGTCACCCCTTCCTCCGTCGAGGTTCTCATGCTGGTGCTCCGGCGCTGGTGCTCTCCGCTGAGCGGCGCCCCCAAAGACCACCGGCTGCTGCAGCTGACGCTGAAGAGCTTGGTCGGGATGGTGCACATCCTCCACGCCAGCAGCCCCAGCCAGCGCAAGGTGGAGATCAGGGCCATCCTGGACAGCTACTTCAAGGTCCTCAACTCTGACCAGCCCATGGGCTCCCCGGAAGGTTCGCCGGGCCCTCACTGGGAGGAGAAGCTCATTGCCCTCAGGGTGAACATGCTGGGTGAGTCAAGCTGGGAAAGCGGGCATGCGGTATGTCAAGGGTAGCCCTAACCGCCTCGGATGGACTGGCAGGCAGAAGCAGCGTTCAGAATAATCGAGATAGGCTGGAGCCCTAGGCTGAAAATGACAGAATGAAAGTCAGCCGGGAGAAGTGCAAAATCCTGCACCTCGGAAAGAGAAACCAAACACACAGTTACAAGATGGGTGGGTGGGACCAGGCTCAGCAATACTACGAGCAAGAAGTGTCTTGGGGTTATTGTAGATCAGAAGTGGGCTATGAGCCAACAGTGTGATGTGACTGCAAAAAAGGCCAATGCGAATTTGGGCTTGCATGAACAGAAGCATGGTCTTCAAATCCTGTGAGGTACTAGTTCCCCCTCTGTTCAGCACCGTTTAGCCCTCATCTTGAGTTCTGTGTCCATTTCCAGACACTGAAAGAACGGGGCATGTTTAGCTTTGAGAAAAGAAGTTTGAGGGGTGATAGGAGAGCACTTTTCAAATATTTGGAAGGCTGTGATGCAGAGGAGTTAAAGGAAGCCAGTTAAAGGAAGCCAGATTTTGGCTGAATATCAGGGGGAAAAAAATTCCTAACTGTTAGAGCAGTACGACAACGGAATCGGGTATCTCATACGACTCTCCCATCTTCTTCTTCCTCCTCCTCCTCAGATGCCATTCCTGCCCCCCCCCCCGAACTGCAGCTCCTTTCACAAGAGAGACGTGAATAAGATGTTGAACAACTAAAGTATTCCGTGATGGCAGAATTCAGAGATGTTGGTTTTCCAGAATGATGTGGTTTTGGTACCTTCTGGGTTGGTTGGTTTGTTCGTTTCTTCTCTCTTGAGCTTTTTGGAAGAAGGACGTCGTGACAAAAATACGTTCGTTCACGATGATGGTCTGAGAGAGTGGTGGCTTTGCTTAAGTTGTTTCCTGAGTCAGGGAGTGAGTTTGAAACAGTGGCTGTCTGTTTTGTGGGTCATGTTCCCGAAGCAGGAGACTCGAATACAGTTCCTAATAAAGGTACGGCCTGAAGAACATCAGTAGGGCACTTTTGAAGGGTGGGATCATTCCCATGGACAAGAGGGGAGTGTATTATGTTATGGGAAGAAAGTTACATGCTCTGGGTGATCTGTGGCTTACGAAAGAGTAAGAGCTAAGCTGGTGAAGAGCAGCTCGGCAGGACCACCGGCCCACGCAAAAACCGTGTGGGCTGGATCAGGGCCATGGAAACAGCCTTCAGCGTATTTCATGCGGGCTTTTCCATCACTTCCAGTGACGCCCAGGTGGGAAGGGGCCATTCCGTGTCCAACACCCCAGGGAGGCTGGACTCTCTGGGTGGAAGCACCCAAATGCTTGGGTCATCCGTGTACCTGCGGCTGTGCCTCGGGTTCAGGATTCGGAACGTGTTCTGCCTGTCAGGACTTCTATTTGTGGAACACAGGAGCTTTGAGGGGGTTGCGGACACCCCTTCCAGAGAGGTTTCGCCCACGTTGGCCTCTTGTCTGTGGGGAGGTAAGAATACGACCCGCCGGTGCCCGGACGGATCAGGCAAAATCCAAAGAAACGAAACGAAAAAAGATGGGGAAAAAACCAAAACAAGACGTGGTGGCCCCTTAAAGACCAACCGTTCTGTTTTAGTGTAAGCTTTCGTGGAAGCGTCCCCTTCACTGGACACTAAGAAACCGAATGAAGTGAAATGAGATGTAGATGAAATAGCCCTTTCACATTCTCAGTGTTCCTGGGTTACATGCAGTAATAAGGCCTACGATTGCTTCACAGCCCTTTTGTAAAAATACTCCAAGAAGACAAAAAACAGACGCCAGGTCTGAGCAGAGAACAAGAAGTTGGTGGGGAGGGCGAAGAGAGAGAGAGAGAGAAAGTTTGGTTTTGAAGATGCAGTAAACCTTGAGAGGGGAAAGGAAGAATGAAAGAAGTTAGCAGAGGAGTCAAGTCTGTTAGTGTAGGGAATATAGACTGTTTTTACCTTTGAGCCTTGTGATGAGAGATGGACCTGGTCATCATGAAAAAAGTGGCAGTGGGTAACAGCAGAAGTATTACATTTGGTGATGGCTTAAGAAACCTTAAGGGAGGTGGTGGCGCTGCAGGTTAAACCGCAGAAGCCTCTGGGTTGCAAGGTCAGAAGACCAGACGTCGTAAGATCGAATCCACGTGACGGAGGGAGTTCCCGTCTCTCGTCCCAGCTCCTGTCAACCTTGGGGTTCGAAAGCATGTAAATGTGAGTAGATAAATAGGTACCACCTCGGTGGGAAGGTCACGGCATTCTGTGTCTAGTCACACTGGCCACGTGACCACGGGAACTGTCTACGGACAAAACGCTGGCTCTATGGCTTGGAGACGGGGATGAGCACCGCACCCTAGAGTCGGACACGACTGGACGAAATGTCAAGGGGAACCTTTACCTAAGAAACTCAGGGTTATAGTCAACCCTGGGATGTCCATCGTGTATATTAATGTTATCTCAGCTATTTCCCGCTGTATTTTTGATTTGTAATGATTCTTTTCTAAAATAGTGGCTTTCAAACCTTCCACAGAGTGACCTGGTAGACTGAAATAGTTATCCAGACAGGATCTAAACGTTCCCTTCTACGGGACATCTGCCCGTCCGTGTGGCTGCTTCTCTGTACATGGTTCCTAGCTTAGGAGAGGGACCCCTGCCTTGAGCCCCCCCCCACGAATGCTTGCCTTTACCTTACCTGCCATCTCCCTTGAAAGCCCAATAAATCTGGAGAACATATAAACAACAGGGGAGATGTGTATCTCCGGTTGGAATCTGGGATTGCGCTCTCCAGCCTTATTTTTAACTTCTGCTTGTTTAAGCAAACCAGCTGCTGCTCCGTACCCTTCTTCTGAAAGAGTTTCCATTTTAAGAGAGTCACTAAAGTGAGGGCATATAAACCTGCCTTCTTCGGTGCCAGACGGTTGGTGCATCCAGGCCATCGTGTTCTCTTGGAAGGGGCAGCGATGCTCCCGGGTCTCAACCAGGGGGAGTTCCTGCTCCAAAAGAGATCCTTTTAGTTGAAGGAGGCTTGGAGCTGTGGTGGGGGGGCAGGCAGGCGTTTTCTGCTCCCTATCATGGGCTCATGAGCTGCAGCCCCCCCCCCAACTTGCTTGCAGAAGCAGGCCTGACAGCAGGAGGAGAGCGTGGGCTGACCGTGGTCTTCTTGTACGGTCTTTGGGATGTATTGACACGTGGATATTGATCTGACGCCTTTTTATAGACTAGCTTTCCTCTCCGCCCCCCCCCCCTTCTATCTTGGGGGCTCAAAATGTTTGATCATTATTTCGGAATGGTTCAACATAGACAGTGGCTTCAATGACGTCCCGTTTTCTCTACTCCCTCTGGGATTAGCTGAGTTCACCAGCCTTGCGGTCTCATTGACTAGGGCCCCGGTGTTGTTTCGGGCTGTGGTTCTCCCCCTTGGGTCACCCAGCTGCTCTTGAACTGCCGTTCCCAGAAGCCTTTGTCACCAGCTGTGTTTGCGAGGGTTCTTGGGAGTTGCAGTCCAAGAACGCCTGGGTGACCCAAGGTTGGGAACCACCAGTTTAGGACAACCGCAGTACTGGATAGTGTCTTAGTACTCAACAGAGCAAGCAAACCATGACTTTCTTTCTTGATCCCTGTCCCTCTTGATCTGCCCCTTACCCTAATACGGTTGTGCCTTCTGTAAATCCTGTATTGACTCCCACGTCGGCAGGTGCCACCTATATATCAGCTTAGCTCCCGACCTGACCTTTGGTCCAGAAACCAGGCCAGGCAAGAGGCAGGCAAAAGTCACCCTTGTAGGTAAGAAACTGGAGTGGACGCCCATATGGGGGTCATTCCCTTCTGCTCCACCTTTTCTGCCTCTAGTTGTCTTTTTTCCCCCTCAAGCCTGAAAAGGATGCTTGTGAAATTTCAGAAGGGGACACATTGGAGGAGTGGTGGAGGAGGGAGGTGAGCCGGTCTTCCCCGAATCAAAGCTGACCTCCTTCTGGGCTTTGTAGAATCCCTTGGCCATGTGCCCCATTGAGCTAGCTGAAGTGGAATGCGTTCTGCCAATGGAGACCCTTGGCATAATCTCTTGCCACATCGTTTTGATCTCCCCTCTGTAACCCCTTGACCAGAGAGAAAGGGGAGGTCTGCTTGGACATAAGTGTGTTCACTGGGTGCTAGATTGCTGCCAGGCAGGATCAACCCCCCCCCCCATTCTGGAAAGAGTGGGAACAGCTTTGCTCGTTTTTAATTTCCCGACTCCATTGCAAGGTCTTGGGTGGGTGGGGTTCAAGCTCCCATCTTGCTGCTGTGAGACACAGTCCTTTGTAAGGAAACAGCTATAGAATCTTAACCGGGACCCGGTCTTCTTTTCTGGACTGCAG